CTCTTCTGCCTTCGCCCCCCGGCGAGGCAGCTGAGGCTCGGGAAGCCCCCTCCCCACGTTCAGCCAGCAGATTAGCAGCAGAGCTAAGATGCCCCCGCATCCATGGTGCGCAGACTGCTAGGCAGCACTTCAGCCATGTCAGTGATGTGACAGGAGCCAATAAGCAGAGGCAGCGTGCACGGCAGGGGGGGGGGGCTGCCCTTTATGAGGGCAGCCCGCTGTGCCCGCAGGCAGGCGCTGAGCCAGAGGAGAGCGCGACAGACCTGCGGCCCAAGGTAGGAGCTCTCGGCATCACTGCTTGGCTTTCCCCCTTGCGGGCTGCTGGGGCTGGCCGTGCTGGGAGGGATGCTGGGCTCGAGAGCACTGCTGCAGCGCTCTGTGCTGCAGGTTCTGCTAGGTAGGCTTCGGAACCCTGCCCATCTCATCCCTGCTGTGCAGCAAGTGTGGGAAAATACACAGGGAAGAGGGTTAGGGCAGGGGCAGGTAAGGCAGCCAGTGTGTGTCCCATACACTGCAAGAGACAGAAGCTATCCCCGAAAGGGTCCTGCTGATGGTAGCTCTCACTGGTGGTAGACCAACATTAAGGTACCATGAGTAGGAGTGAGAAAGGAAAGCCATCCAGAGGCCTTCACCCTTACAGGGTTTGGGGTGAAACACAAGCAAGGAGATAGGTGATGCCTGACCCTCTTTGCCTGGTGACAGAGCAGGACCTAGTGAAATTCCTGCAGAAGATGAAGTTACCACAGTCTTTCTGTAACATTTTACCCTTAGGGTTGTGATAGGGCATTGGGGTAGGGGGATGCTAGAGGGGAAATTCCTAATAAAAAGCCCTAATAAGATTCCCATAAAAGCCAGGGAATTTTAAATGACAGTTGCCCTGTCTGCAGTGCAGAGAGAGGGCATAATAGCTCTGCATCTGGAACATCTAAAATTTAGGATGCTGTTATTGCAGTGACTCCCTATTTCCGTCCTCCCTTGCTAGATTTAGCACAGCAATATTTCTCCAAGTAGCATGTCAGGGATATTTCACCCACTTTGTCCCTAATGCTGTCCTAGGCTTACTGATTCACTCCTGAGCAGTCTGGTTGCACCTTTGCAATTCACTGCAGCCTCAGCTGAGTTAAAAGCAGGGTCATGGTGCATCCCAGACTGATGACTTGGGGCTCTGAATCTGCACACTCATCTTTGCCTGCTCCTGCAGCACCTGGTCCTGCGACTTGGGGCAGCAGAGAGCCTTTGGGAGTCAGAGTGCAGAATTAGCATATTGGGTAAAGCACACGCTTCCTACTTCACTTCTGGCATTATAAGGCCCTAGGAAGAGGAAGATTAGGGGATCTCAGCTGAGTTATTTTCAGTTATAACTTATGCTCAGACCTAAGGCTCATGACTAAGGAGATTAAGTGCCAGCCTCTAGAAGCAAGGGCCAAACTACACAAATAAGATTTGCGTGATGCCAATCACGTACTTGGGTACCACTCTTCAGCATTTGTTATCAATCATGATATTACAAAGGCAGAACAAGCACCCAGATGTCTGCAGCATTCCCTCTGCAAGCGAAGTCATTACTGCTGCTAGATTTCTGCAGAGGCACACTTCTGGAAGGGCTGATTCCAGGCCAGCTTCAAAGCTGCACAAAGGGCCAGCATTCTTGAGGTTCATCCCAGGCTCTTAACTGAGAATCTGACAAACCGTCCACAGTTGCCTATGCCAGTTACTTACATTTTGTGGATGGATTTAACAAAGGGCTTCACTTATGTCATAAAATATTAATGATTTACTCTCATGCTTCAGGATGAGAAGCCAGTAAGAGTCAGGAGGCCTTGAGGTTAGGGAACAATCTATACACTCTGAAATCATGCTGCACCTGCCTTTCAGATGAACACGTTCATTTTCCCTTTCTCTAGTCCATCCACGTTTGACATCATTGGGGGTAAGAGACCCCAAATCTGATGGGCCACTGGTCTATTCCTGTGTCACTAGTCCTTCCCCCTCCCCCCCCCACCTTTTTCCTCAGAAAGCTCCATCCAACCCAGCCCAAAGATGGAGTCCCTCCCTGAGGCAGTCCTGATCAGGATCCTGGCTTCCATACCTGCAGTGGACTTGGTGCTGGTGTGCCGCCTAGTCTGCTGCCAGTGGAAGAACCTGGTGGATGGAGCTGCTCTTTGGATTCTCAAGTGCCAGCAAGAAGGCCTCACTGGAACAGAGTCACAGGAGAATGCAGAGAATTGGCAAAACTTCTACTTCCTGAGCAAAAAAAAGAGGAATCTCATCAAGAACCCATGTGGCGAAGGTGAGAGACAAGCATAACAAGCCCCAAGACACCGCAGAGAAGGCCACTCACTGAAGACTGGGCATCTTCAGGCTTTTTCAAAGATCTTAGTTGGCCCCAGGTTGCAATGTTTTCTTCTTGCCCAAGAGAAGTACATGCAGCCAAATCACTTAACGGGCATGAAGACATCCTAGTAAAAAAAAAAAAAAAAAAAAAAAAATTGCAAGGGGCTCTACTTGGCATCAGCTTTATGACATCCTTGCTGGGATCCGAGTTAAGTTTGAGACAGACAAAAAAGCATCCTTTGCCAAAACCACTATCCAGGGTAACAGCAGTGATATCTGAGTTTCCAGATAACTTGTTGCCAAATAATTACAAGAAAGATGAAGCCCTCCCCGACTTGGGGAGCATTCTGGCCTTTGTTCACCAGGCTCCCCTCTCTGCAGCAGCTCAGGCAAATCTCATTTGTACTTCCTTACTAAAACTTGCATTACTGAGCTAGTCACATAGCCCTTTAGCCATTAATTTGATAATCTATTAACTTTGCTTGGTAAATCTGCAAGATGTTTAGCTATAAGCAGCAGTAACCAAGCCTCATAAGCCAAGCAACAAATAAGTTTCCATATTTCACACATCAGCAGGCAAAAGCAGCAACATAACTTCTCTGTTTTGTTTACAGGTGATGTTGCTGCAAGCTTTTTCATCATCCAAGTCCCCTCTGGCTAAGGCTAGAAAATCCCAATTTTTGTGTTTAGGGGCACACTGCTTCTAGAAATACCACTTAGCAATTTAGGTATGTACTGAAAACCTCCTTCAAAGTTCCAGAATATCACCTTGAGGAGCAGCAAACAAGGAATTCAAAACAAATCCCAATTACTTACTTACTTACAAAAAAAGAAAGAAAAAAAAAGAAATAAAGGAATGGGCAATCTCTCTCTAGGCTATTTCTATATTACAACACTGAAAATGCTGACGGTTCAGAATATCTAAATAGTTTCACTACAGTATTTTCTTAAACCAACCTACACATGCATAGCCATATTGGTGGTAGAAAATGTTTGTGTTCAACCAGATCAAAGTTTTTTGCCTGACTTCTACTTAAACATCTCTGTAGTCCATGTACAAACGAGCAATGTATCTAACATATCTTTCACAAGCAAGAGAAAGGTCCCGCTGGGAGGTGGTCAGGTTCTCCAGGCCCATAGAGACTATGATGCAATAGATTCTCTCTTTTCTGCCATTTGCAGAAGACTTGCAGTACTGGGCAGAGGTAGAGAATGGAGGCGATGGCTGGAAAATTGAAGAGCTCCCTGGGGACTTTGGAAAAGAATTCCCTAGCGAAGAAGTCCATAAATACTTTGTGACATCCTATGAGTAAGGCTGCTTTTTCTCTTATTCAGGGAAGGGGACAATTTTGCTTCGTCCAGCCCCAGGAGGGGTTGTGCTACCAAGTAATTCCTTGCGTTTCAGGTGGTGTCGAAAGTCTCAAGTCATTGATCTTAGGGCTGAGGGCTACTGGGAAGAGCTGATGGACACAACCCAGCCTAAAGTTGTGGTGAAGGACTGGTAAGTAGCAAGAACGCCCTGGAAGGCGGACAGAGCCTCAAGAACAAGGAGAGGGAGGGCATATACCTGCACTAGGCCTTAAAACCTCAGCTGTCACCCCACTGCATCCCTTGGTGTCATTCTATATGTGGGGCAGGGCTAGAGGTTGGCTTGAGTCACTGGCAGCTCCCACAAGCTTCAAACCATTAGCGCATGTGGTCTCCAAAGACCAGGTCCCTCTTGTGACTGGGGGGATGGGTTGGGATGAGAACTGTTCCAGATTTCCACCTCTGCCAATCTCATCAGGTCGCTGGGGCCTTGATTTGAGCCCGCCCATTGTTGCCATTCAGCAGGGGTCTGTTGTGTCTCTTTGCCAAATTCACCTAGGCAAGACTGGCAGCTCAGGTCTCCCCGCAGGTACGCGGGACGCAGCGATGCTGGCTGCCTCTATGAGCTTTGCGTGAAGCTGCTCTCAGAGAACGAGGATGTGCTGGCCGAGTACAAGAGTGAAACTATTGCCATCCCACAGGACAATGACGCTGACTGGACTGAGGTGAGTCGCAGACATGGGTTGGGCAGGGGACACCCAGCCTGCACAACTCAGGAATATTTGCAAACAGACAGAAGCAGGGAGTGTTCTCCTGGAGGAGGAGGAGAGCTCTCTGGCTTACGTTTCACGGAGCCAGGGATTATGCTATTAGGCTACCTTACATGAAGTTTGGAAACTCACTAAGTCACCTCTACAAGTTTGTGGGATTGGAAGGAGATACCCAATTGGGAAAGGGCTCAGTGGCCTCTGAAAATCACCAGGATCAAAGCTCCTCCCAGTAACTCCTTTCCTACTCTAACTGTCCTCATTGTTACCCAGCCTGGTAGCCCTGGCTGGGGCAGGTGGGGATTAAAGGCTCTGCGCACTAGGGAAGGGTAGATTCATGGTGGTTTGACACTCACCAATAACTGTTTTCTCTCTCTCACCCCAAAGATCTCCCACACCTTTTCCAACTATGGGCCTGGGGTACGCTTTGTCTGCTTCGAACATGGTGGCCAGGACACGCTGTTCTGGAAGGGATGGTATGGCGTACGTGTTACCAACAGCAGTGTGACAGTGGAGCCGTAGCCATGCTGAACTTGGTCCTGCTTGCTAGAGCCAGCTTCCTTCAGGGCATCCCATGGGCTTTGGATGGTTTCTGCATGGTGCTGCTTCCAGGCTGTAAAGCATATTACTTCTGTGCGTGAATGTGCACCAAATGCC